CCCCTTTTACTATAAAAAAAAAAAAAAAAGAAGGACTATTAGGCCTCCAACACGCACTATTAAAACGTAACGCAGAATTGTGAACTCTTGACATGTTTCTTATCTATGGTGTGTGGTATTGAAGTCATTCGTGCAATAAATATTAATTTAAAAAAAAAACAAGAGTTTATAAACAGCACTTAGATCCTTGTTTACTATTTCTACTTGTCTATGCTCGTTCTCAATTCTGAGAACCCATCTACCACTTTGCTGACGTCATCATTGTTTACGATCTTCAAAGTTAGTGTACAATTTACTATTTGAATTAAAGTGGATTTCCACGGAACCAGTCGTAAAAAATCCTTTCTCGAATAATGTACAAGAGATGTTGAGATACGACAAAATAATGTGCCTGGAATTTTATGTAATCTACATATCAAATCTACCCCTCTATTACAATGTAAAGGATGGGAAAAGGAAGTGGATTTGGTGGGGCATAGGACGCATAGGTAGGGGAGATATGCTCTTTCTCAGCGTTTCCTGTGTTGAATAAAGACAGGCAACGCATCTGCAAATGCGGATGTCTGTAGACAGCGGTCACTTCGGTATTCCGGTGGCCGCTTGGTCATTTTATACGTTTAAAAAACCTATATAATTGTCACTTTGCAAATATTTTGTTTGTACTCGTGATGTTTAGTAGTTTCTCTAAGTCTGTTAACATAGATTCGTTTACCTAGGTCTTATAATAACATGGATTTTTCATATTTGCATAAATAATTTATGGTGCTCTTTGACTTGATGCTCCAGCGCGGCGGCAATCAACCGTAACAAAATACCTAGTTTTATACTTTTATTACTAACACTTGAGTGCACACTTGATTATAATAAATCAAAAAGACAACAGGAAAAGCTAAAAATACTCTATACTTCTACACTAATATAATGAATCGTAAACACACACTACTTCGTGGCGTAGGATGTCAGCAATCACAGCATATTTTTGAATAATTGTTTCTTAAATAAAAAGCCCTACACTTACAACTCGCTTTAGGCTATGTGTCACGCTATTAAACTTAGGGGTAAATTAATTGGAAAAACCTTCACGTGGGAAAAGGACCATAAACTACAAGCTGCCATATGAAGGAAGCAAGGTTGTCATAGTAACGGTCTTTGTTATCCAATGTCGAAGGCGTTCGTTGTCATCTGAGCATTTAAATGAATTTAACATTTACAATTTAAAAATTTGACAAATGTTAACATTAAAATAATTTTATGTAGATGAAGCCGCACGGGAACAGCTCGTTTATTTAATAAAAATGTATTATAAAGTCCTAGGTATATAAAAAACAAAACAAGATATAATTAAGATTATTAATATTATAATTAAAGGAATGTTAAAAGACGTAACGGAAAATTACAGCTACAGGTCAGTCTGACTGACAGTTTAAACTGATCTTATATTGACAGATCGAAGATGCTCCTTCCAGGGGTTAAAACAGAAGTATGGTATACGGTGCCGCTAGCACTTTGAACGATTACTTTTATTCAAAATGTAAAATATTTTATCTCGTTATGACGTAAAAATATAATTACATTCAAAGATCAAGAAGTCAGTAATCACATGTCAATTATATAGAACATAAAAGTTTTTATAACGTAGTGAACGTTGCTAAAACGTAAATGGAGGGAGTTTATTTTTTTACTCTACAAGTACCTACATATATCAGGTCATAGACCATAAAGTTTTCCATGACAGAGTGAAGACTCAGTTGACTGAATTAACAAAGTTACATAGACAAGAAACTTTTTATTATTTTACTAATGGGACATGGATGGTATAGTACAGTCAAGAAAATCTGCAATTTTTCACTTCAGTAAAAATTGCCTTGTTCATTGCAACGAGACAAATTCTGCCTCTTAGTACAAATTACTACTTAAATAACAATGAGTGGTACAAAGGGATAATAATAAAAAAGAAACTAGCCCTGTATCACTAACTTTGATTTTTTTTTTCGACACATTTATAAGCTGCGTTGTATTGGTTTTTGTTCCGCGTCTCGGGTCAAAATGTTCAACCCAATGTAGCTTTAAGTTTCCCTGACAGTACAACGTATAGTGTAAACGAACCTTGAATACTTCGCTTCGTAAACGAAGCTTACAATCTTATAGATGACGACTTCGCCCGCGTTTAATTAAAAAATAATAAAAAGTATAGCCTATGTTACCAACAGATAAATTACCTGTCTAATCGTGAAAGAATTTTTGAAATCGCCCCAGTAGTTTTTACGTGAATCGAATACATATAAAAATCTAAAAATAAAAATCTTACTTTTTTATAATATTAAGTACAGATATAGATAAAAGTAAGGAATTTAAGCGTGGCCTTCATTTTAGACGCTGTTATATGTTTAAATGTCGTTTCAGTATTCGGCCGAAAGTTCTTTTTGAATTCCACAAGTTTTCATATAAATTCGGTGCGTAAAATATTTTCTATCTTCCAAGGCCTATACTCTGGTTTTAATTTTATCAGACGCTAACAATAAATAAGGAAACTCCTATGTTAAAGAACCGTCGCTATCGAGTTCCAATAATATTGAATATGCTAATATTTGTCTAGTCGTTATACGGTACATTTGAATGCAGAATTTACTTTATAAAAAACTTCCTATGTTAATACCAAGAATTCTATATGCATGCACAACTAATATACCTTCGAAATATAGAAAATTTATGCAAAGTTATATAAATCTATATCATAAAGAGGGATTTTTAGATTTTGTATGTATTGACTCAAAAACAACTGGGCCGATTTCAGATTCTTGAGCCATTAAAAAAACTTTTATTTCATTCGGACGATGTCGCGAGCAACATTTAGTATTTAATAATTAAGTAATTGTTAAAAATGAATTCGAAATAATAGTCATGAAGCATCATTATGTTATGTAAAACAATTAGTTAATATTTAGTTGACTAAGCTAAAATATTTCAAAAAGGTTGACAAGATATGCAAAATAATTTCCCACTTTCCTTCAAAATCGAGGTAACATGCACTGTTCCTGTCTTTTTTAATTATTACCAAGTTAAGAGAAATATTATAGAAATGTTTGAAACGAGAAGTTTAGTTAATTTGATGAGTTAGTTTTAAAACAACAGAATACGAGCCTGAAATCTTGCAAAAAAACAAAAGTCTTCGAAATCCTCTTCCTTCCTTCGCCTTCAACAAACTCATAGGACTTATAATTAATATTAATCGATAAACAAGTATTGGACGTAAATGCATCCGCTTGTAATCAGCACCGCAACAGCCAGGGCAGCCTCTGCGTCGACATGTTGGGTGACCACACGTCGTGTCACAAATATACATTTCCCGAATTATATTTTTATTTGATAATTATCCACAAAAGTAAAGGAAATATATTTGCTTTAATTGATGTCCTCTGCATTTAAAAGAATTCTTCCTTTTATTATAAAATGTTCTAACGCGTAATTTTTGTGGAAATTGCAAGGTTACTAATAAAAAATATCTTTTAAAGCAAAATTTTGGCACATTATAATGTTCGTATGTAACGTAACGTTTTTTAAAACATAACTATCACAAATTCATAGTTAGAGCTTGAAAAAATACTTCGAGCTTAAAATACTGTCCATCAAAGTTTGTAAATATGGTGACTCGATGGTAAAGCGCTGCGTTTCCTCATATAAGGTTGAGTTTCTGTTGCCAGCTCATAACCATCGCGGCTGCGCACGGCAGCTGCTGTACTGTCGCCGTTAGCATCTTCTGTCACCATGTTTCGCTACTTCTGCTTTCTTGCACTCTTCTGGAACGTAAAGTCCGCCACGGGTACGTGATTTTTTTAACTTCACATAACTTAGCTTTTCGATTACTTTTTTGTACAAAATAGCAAACGAGCAAGAGGCCAAGATATAGGGCAAAATATCCGGGAAATATCCTCTCTCTGTGTGTCCCCTCCTCTATAAAGTCCACGACTTTTTGCGATCCATGTCTTGAAACAAAAAAGTAGGAAAAAAGAAAGATTATGTTGTCTTTAAAGGCTTTTAAGGTATAAGATTTTATTGTCTCTCATAGTAAAGCTCACACTTAGATAGTTCTTTAGTATTATTTTAGTATGACGCCTAAACCTAGTTTTCTTAAAGGCAACTTCTCTGAGTGCGCAATAAATTAAGTTTGCTTTGTTTTGTATAGACATAACATTTTGTAATTGTTTAGTTTGTGTTAATATTTGTTTAGACATGCAAATTATTTGCAATTTTCATTACATTTGATTGAGTGAACACGACTGTCTTTATAATATGATTATCATACTTCATACTAATATTATAAATGCGAATGTTTAGATAGATAGATGGATGGATGTTTGTTAGAGTTTGTAGCCTAAACTGCTGAATGAATCTTGATGAAATTTGGCATAGATGTAGAGGATAGTCTGGAAGAAGACATAGGCTACTTACTTTTCTTTTTTTTATTCCAAGCGAACAGCGTCGTGCGCGAAAGCTAGTATTAAATAATAGGTACAATAGATTTCTATAGACAATAATACTAAGTATCAGATAAAACAATAACTATTAACGTAATAAAAGATGTTATAGATAACTTGGTGTAATTCTCATTGTATTAAATTTGTTTTTAATTAGAATTAGTAATAATGTATAAAATAGTCATCGTTATTCTGAAAATATAGTAATAATAATCGCCATCAGCCAGAGATAAAGAACTCTCAACTTTTTATCCGGATTTATGGAACAAGTAAACAAAATTAGCATTTATTCAAATAAATTATAGACTCTTTTAGTATCAAACTTAGGTCAAATATACTAAGTAGTAATTTTTTTATTATAACAGAGGGCGTACACCTTTTACAAAACTATCGCCTGTTGTGCGATTGTCGATTGTTTCGCTGTCCAATCAACTGTTTAGTTGCACAACTAAAAATCGAGTCATCATCATCATCATCATCATCATCATCTCCTTCTCCTACTCCCGTAGGGTCGGCGCAACGGTTTTTGTCCTCCACATAACTCTATCATACGTCATCTCAGTCATCACTCCCTTTTTGATCATGTCACCTTTTAAAAAAAAACAACTAAAAATCGAATAGTCTTTTGATTTTTGAATCCAATTCTTTTTATTGTAAAAAATACTTTAAGAACTAAAAACAAATTAAAATGCCCGACAGGTAATTAACTTCCGTCCGTCATTTTTTCCCATATAAAGCAAAGATTTATATATTTAGTATTTGCAACAAATTCTTGTTAATTGGTAATTAATATCACTAATTAGTTTTTTTTTAACCTGATCGTGTTTTCTTGATCGGAACAATACTTTTTATTACATTTTTAAAATGCTTTGTATTCAAATAGACAAAATATTATTTAGCAAGGTTTTATTGTTATGGATGCGTAGTAACGCACGTATTCAGGGCAGATCTAACGTAAACAAGGAAATAAATAAAATAAGGTCAACAAATATACAAACGGAAGCACGAAATTAAATAAAATAGCCCTTTAAGAACGTTATTATGTAAAAATGTTGAATCAAATTAAGTTTTTTTATAAATATACTACAACTAGCATTGTAATTGATGAAAAAAAAAAAAAAAACAAAAGTGACTATCCTATGTATTCTTCCAGACTAACCTCTACGTCTATGTTAAATTTCATCCGCAGTTTAGGCTACAAACACTTACAAACATCCATCCATCTAAACTTTCGCATTTATAATATAAGTAAGATAAGATCTAAGTTTAAATTTTCCGATAAATCTATCAAAACAACTACGACATGATATCGTAATATAACTAGTAAATCTTAAGAACTTATACATTGCCAGTTATTAGTTACTTTTTTCATTTTAGAATACTAGGGAAAATTATATTTCTTTTAGAACTATTTGTTCGAAATAATCTTCAACGTGTTGCAAGTCAAGTATCATAATACTTTCAGTCAGGAAAAATAAATCAACAAATTTTTATTTCTTAAACTATGTGAAAACTTTAATAGTTTTCTTTATGTGTTTATTACATTCATACATTGATTTGATTTATTTTCTCTTACACAATACAACAGTAGAATAGAAAAAAAGCTATAAAACATTTAATTTGAAAAATAAATCAAATTGGAAACATTGAAACGTTTTGAAAAGCGGTAAACATGCAATGTTATGTAAACAGAACTATAAAATGCCAATAACGCTATTCGGTTGGAAAATAACACAGTATTTTTTTCGTTAAAATTTCTAAACGTATTGTTTATGAATAGTAATGTTATATAACCGGTTTCCGTTTAACTTGACCTTCCTTCGTGATCTACTTAGTTATAAATTATAAACCGAGAGGAATTATCTATGCAATGTATTGTTTTACCACAATACGTAATTCACTTCGCGTATATAAGTTATAACCTCCTCCATTTTGATGTCTGTAAATTCACTCAAGTATAGGTACTTCGTAATCCTTTACAAATTATCTCTACAATATCAATTAATAAAAATAATTACATCTTATCATCTTCCTCTTTATTCTACTCCCGTAGGAGTTTTTGTCCTCCACATAACACAATCATACGTCATCTCAGTCATCACTCCCTTGATCATGTCACCTTTCACGCAATACATCTCTTTACAACATGTCAGTTAGTAAAAATAATTACATCACAGTTTAATTATAATACAGTTACTACGAGTACTTTATAGTTGGTACTTAAATAAATATTTTATTGTAAATTGAAGTTTGAAAAGTATGTAATAAACAAAGGACAAATTTATACCACACATTCTTAGATTATCTCTAGTCATTATATCTGAAATGTTATAATATTTTAAAGTAATTGTTACTATTAATGTAAAAACAATGTGGTATTTAATTTTTTTAAATCTTCTTATAAAGCTCACTATACTATTATCAAAAGCTATATTAATTAGTAATTATTCTCCAGCGCCGTTCATAACGCCGTGCAAGAATGGCGACACCGCATGCGTCCAAGCGTCCGCTACGGCTTTGATGCCGTTGCTTGCACGCGGCATCCCCGAGTTCGGCATGAAGCCGCTGGACCCACTCAAAGTACCACGTATCACCAGCGAACAAGGCTCCCTTAAGATCACCATGACCGACACCGAGCTCACCGGACTCAAGGACTGCAAGATTGAAACCCTCAAGTATGTACTTACTTCTTTATTTTGTCTGGTAAAGGATACAGCTCCAGTAAAGGGGTAGGCAGAGATCACCGCTCTCACAGAAAATCTTGCTCTTTTATTAATATGTAGTCTTACGTACATCGCATTTCAATTCAACGTCATAATTAATTTAAGAATAGAAAAAAATATTACGATAATATACTGGTATCCACGAGGATTAGCGTCAAATTAAGTTTGTTTAGGGTTATGTGTTCTTACGTACGTTTAATTATTTTTAGCTTAATGGCTTAAAATATGACCAGTAATTATTATTTTCTTTTTCTGCGAGTTCACCTTCAAACGATCTTCCTGCTCTTACATAAACAGATTGCATTTCCTTTTACCTCTTCAAGAATATAAAAGGATAACCGTGGCATTTTATAAATGCTAAAATAACTGGTTATTTGATGATAGAAATATTTTCGTTATAACAAAGCATTATATTTTTATAAATTAGCTCCAACTAAATTATATACTTAGGTATAATCTAATAATAACACATTTATAATTCAAATGTATGTTTATTCCGTTGTGAAACAGAATAGATTTTATTAAAACACATCGTTTAATATCCATTTTTATTTAAATGACTATTCACAACTAAAATATTTTTTATTTAATTACAAAGAAATATAATCTAAAAAAAGAAAACTCGCTAACTTACTACGAGCTAAAATTATTTGAATTTACTACTCATAATGCAATATAAGCGAATGGAATTTTAAAATATGTATAGGTGACTAGACTTGAATAGATGTAGCAAAAGTCAAAGGTATTTTATTGACCGACTTCCCAAAAGACGGTACTCAATTCGTCTGTATGTTTTTTTTTTGTCTAATCGACACTACAGGATAAAATTAAGTCGTTTTGTTTAATACCTAATGTTAGTTGACATGTCTTGTACAATAAAAAATGGATAATACAATTGCAGTAATTGTAATTGGTTCATTTGTTAACTCTTAAATATGTCAACTTCTTTTATTTATCAACGACGACAATAAAAGTACAGGTAATTTTATTCTTATTAAACTTGCTATTCTTGGCTCAGTCTCAAGGTCAAAGATCAACAGACAATTATTACAGATTATACTGATAGGTACGTCATAATTATATTATTACGGAACTCAAGATTTATTAATCTGACACTAATTGCAGTAGGTAAAGCTAACATTGTTGATTGGTTATCTAGGTAACAATTTCAATTTACCGTCCAAGTATGGAAAAGAAATATAGGCTTTACGTTTTTTTTCTGATCTTTTATTGATCGAAGTTTTCAGCTTTAAATGATTGCTATTTAGGTATTTCATTGATTTAATTTTATGTTACTAAATAATTTAGTTTTATATACACTAGCTTTCGCCCTCTAAAAAAAAAAAAGTAGCCTCTTATGTGTTCTTCCAGACTATCCTGTACTCTATGTAAAATTTCCGCGAAATCCGTTTACGCTACAAACTCTAAAAACATCCATCTATCCATCGAAATTTTCGCATTTATAAAATTAGTAAGATTAACAACGTGTACTTAACTCAGTACAGTCACACTGACTGATTTGAAATCTTTACTCCTTCACTCGGAAAAGAGCCCGCCAAAACCTCCACACAACGCCGCCGCCAACCTGTCAGACGCATTCGCGCCAATTTGTCTTTTACTGATAGGTATTGCGCAGCCAACTTAAATTGTATGTCCTAATGTTGCCAACACGAATAAGAATCGCCATTTAAGGATAAAAAGTCTAGAATGGGCATGATTTGTGTTCCTCTAAAAGCCTAACATTTCAAACATGCAAGAATTTATAAAATAGATTTTTAAAGGAATTCGTTTATTCGCAGACACGACCGGATCAAGGGCAAACAGGTACTTGTGCTGCGCTGCGACATGTCGCTGGAGGGCGACTACGTGCTGGACGGGCAGCTGCTCATTCTGCCTGTGCAGGGCAAGGGCAGGTACAAGATTGATATTCGTAAGTGTTTTATATCTATATATGTCTAGTAAAATTTTGTGGAATATAGTTTAAATATTAAGTTTGTTTTGTATTATTGGTAATTTTATTAAAAAATATTTCTACAGCTGTGGATTATTTTTACCATTGTTTTAAAAAATGTTTATAATTAATTACTAGGTGACATCGTGATAAAGATCTTAACAGACCTGACGTCAGAGCAAGGGCCTGACGGCAAGGAGCACTGGAAGGTCGTCAAGTGGCGGGAATCCTTCCAGGTCAAGACCGGAGTCAAGTTCCATTTCGACAACCTCTTCAATGGAAACAAAGCTCTAGGTAAAAATAACTGATTATACAATACAATAAAATGTAATTTTGACAAAACCATTTGACTAATATGTGTGGAAAACGTTTAAATGAACACTACATTTTTACATTTTACTTGGGATACGTACAAAGTATTATTTTGTTATTAGTAGGGTGATTACTCCCTTTCTCACTTCCTAGTTAGTATCCCATATAGTAGGGTCAGCTTTCTTTGTTAATTACTTCCACATTGCTCTGTCGTCGACATCGTGATCTAGTACTTGGTACTAGCAATAGGGAATACTGCAATGCCAAATTACCGGTTGTCCGGCCGCCTTATATCCTGCTAATCTATCATAGTCGAAATGTATCACTTTCAGCCGATCCAGTATTAGAATTCGCGAACACAAGCTGGAAAGATGTTATGCAAGAGATAGCGCCGCCGATCATACACACCATCATTGCAGCTGTATTCGAGGAGTTCAAAGCCCTCTACAAGGCGGTGCCAGCGGAGGAACTTTACATCCCTTGAACATAACACACTAGTTTATTGTAAATAGTATTGTACAGCATTTTGTGATGGTAGGTTAAGTTTCGTTTGCTAAAAATGCAATAACAATTTAAATATAAATGTTTAAAAAAGATTGAACTTTTATTTATCCTCTGAAACAGTATACGATAAATGTTATTAACTGAATTTGTTTTTTTTTTGTTCCTTTGTCCGACTGCGTTTGTTCTTTTTTTTTACCTTTTTATGCAATGACCTATGCTTTGAATCTTCGATACTTCCGAGAGTACACTTCGGACAATGTTTAAATTGTAAAAATCAAATAGGCACAAAATATATACGCCAATAGCCTGTCCATTTGTAGAGGTTGCCTGTATATCATAGAGATTTGACATTGACATTACATTTTAAAATCGATAAGTTTGATGATGCACATGAAGTATCGAATTATACTATGAAGGCAAATGGACGGATATCATGGTGATGGACATATCGCATTCAGAAGAAATTAAGAATTATCGATATTCGGTTAGAACAAAATATATCAAATATAATTAACACTATTAAAATAAAAATTAAAATAAATAAAAACAGTTCTAGTGGTGAACATAGTTATAGCAATAACAATAATAATAACGAACACCAATTACATTATGCGCGACCATACAAGTATACCATATCTTTCAACTCTCGTTCTGTGCATTTTCTATGCATAACTTATGATTTATTTATCTTTTAATAAAAAAAATAGTGATTTGTATTTAACTGTAAATGAGTTTCTATCGATAACAATTTCTAAAAAAGTGAAAATCGATAATATCCAAATACGATTTTCCATCCCTACTGAATTGTCAAACTAATCATTCTTATTTAGACAAACAAACTATAATTTTATGTTGGACATGGACATTTGAAAATTAGAATTTTTACAAAAGATGAATAATAAAACTTGAAAACTTGAAAACTTGAACTTGGTATTCTTGAAGTAAAGATAATTTTGCAAACATAATACAATAACAGTGAATATAAACACTTCGTCCACAATATGATCTGTCCAGAAATAAGTAATTTTCCTTCACCAAAAGTATCTACTATTCACAGAACAAATCAAAATGTTGAGACAATTATCGAAGCTATGAAAGTTAATAATTTCTATAAAAGCATTATTATTACTTGTCCTGACGAGATCAATGTGCCGAGTTCTCTCGAGGAAATAATTACCGAAGACAGCGATTCTTACAAATTAAGTGGCTGTCCTCTTACAGAATTTGTCGATAACGTGTTTATTAAAAGTTTTGTCAGGAATGGAAAATTGTATTGTTTATCCGCAGACAGAAACTGCATTGTTAAAAACTGCGTTGCTATAACGCCAGATGGAATACTAACCTTACATGTTCTAGATTACACATACCAAACACTCGGTCTCGAAGGATCGAAACGTCCTCACAATTATTACGAGGTTAACATCGATTTAAAAAACATCAAGAATACTGACAGAATTAAACATGCTTTACGTAAATTGGGAACATTTGATTTTCACATATATTGGGAGCCGCATTCGGATGATGTTTGTCCATCAACAGTAGCACGATATTTCCACAACAAGGACATAGATGTAACACTCTGCTCTCTTAAAACTAAGAAGATATCACCTCAAATAACCCAAGTGCCATCTCTGGAAAATGTGGAAATTGAGGAAATTGTTGAATGGGTCGGAATGTTGAGTCACAATGCTGATTTGAATCCTGATGAATCATATATCAGTACATACATTGAACCGGAGTGCAGCAATCCATTAGAAACTAAAAGGATAGCTCTGCTTGTTGTTAAAGGATTTTTGACATCTACACTTATTGTAGAACTGTGTACCAAGTTATCAGAATATGTCTCGAGCAGATCAATGAGCAACTACTGGGCCTGTCTCAGTGTGCAGAGTGAGGACACCCTGCGGAGGTGGAACTTCTGCACACCCAGAATGTTTCTGCCTCACAATACTTCAGATAACATGTTCTTTACACAAAATGGTCATATTACATATTCAATAAGTCAATTAAAATATTCATAAATTATTAGTTTTTATTTAGTAACCTTACTAACTTTTATTTGCTTTATTCTTTTCCTGCTTGTGAACTATCTTGTTTGTAATGTAATAATTTCTCAAGATATTGTCTTCAGTCCTGCTTTTCAACTGAATTTACATAAGTAGATAGTGTCATCTACAATTTGACAAAAAACATACTTTTATCATTTCATTACTATTTTTTTGTCATTTGTATTTAAATATGGTAGTAAGTTTTTATAGAAAAACACTATATTTGTTATTTTAATTAAAAGGTTCTTGTATTAATGGGTGATGCTACTCGCAACACTAAATTTTCAATTAAAAAAAATCTGTAACGGTTGCACACATTTTTATGATTAAAATGAAACTATCTGTGCTAGTTATAAACATTTATTAAAAAAACAAAACAAGCATACATTTCAATGTTCCCTACACCCACTGGAGGACAGCAACAAGAGCAATGGTAGGCTTAAGGAATGCAAAAATCTAGCATTAAATAACATGAGAATATTCAACTGGTTCCCTACAAGTTGTGACAATGTGGTCCAAATTTTACTGTAGGACAATAAATAAGTGGATAAGACGACTTCAACAAGAATTATATAATTTGTTTTAAGAATATGTCAAACCATAGACAATATTTGGACCGATATAGACTAAGAGCTATATTAGTTGGTGCATTAAGACTTGGCGAGTCCTATGACCCCGCAGGCGATGCGCGCGCCCGCGTTGCCGGTGGTCTTGCTGAGCTCGTGGCCGCCGATGCCGAGGTCGTCGGGGTCCGCGTGCACCACCAGCGTGCGCCCGATTATGCTGTTCGGTCCAGACAGGGAGATCTGCGAGTCTTGGATGCAAACCTGCAACAAGATATGGTGACAAACATTCTAGTGTGTTTTTTTGACTAAATAGCGACCGCTTCCCAAACATGCATTTGCAAATACATGAATGTTCGTCAACAAAGGACAACCTCACAAATAGAGGATATTATCTCTAGCTATGCATCCCATATCATTTAATAGCCGGTAATCAGTCTTTAATATCACTGTAAAAGTTTTTTACTATTGAAGGGTCTTAATAGGATTCAATGAACCTTCGTTTTTTTTTCATTTGAAATTAACTTAAACATAAAAAACGTTATCTGTCCAATGTGTGTATTTCAGGTTGCATAACAATTCAATTTACAATATGAATGCACATTAAAAACTAAAACATTATCATTGTAATATAGAGTTAAAAGGAATAATCTAAAGTGTATCCCATGAAAAAATTAATCTCTTTTGTCAAGTGTCTTGTATTATAACTATAGTTGTCTCTATTCAAAAGGAATGTAAAAGATGAAGTGTGGGCCGTACCTTTGTGACTCCTCCGTCAGCGGTGGCCTCGATGTTGCCGAGATCGCCGACATGGCGCACGGTGGCGGTGGGCGCGCCGTGCTCCTGCTTCCCTGGGTTGAAGTGTGCGCCGGCGGACGTGCAGCCGTTTGTGTTGTCACCAAACTCATGCACATGGAAACCATGTTTACCCTGAAAGGTGTACAAATGACACAAGTTTACATCAGGCATGTATGTCTTATCAAATGACTCCAGAACGACAACTTAGAAATAAGGTTGGATCATACTTAAAAAATGTAAAAGCCCACCGTCTAGGAACGTTTTTTATCCCACTCAGGCTGTAACTACTACTTTCCTAGTTGTTGCCTATCAATCTGCTTCTACATAGATCCCTGTCTATGAAGATTTTTTTATTAGAAATAAACCAGATCTTGGCCATGATTCCACCTAAACAAAGTAAAGACGCGGTCGAAGGATGTCATGCGCTAGCTCAGTAAGTACCAATTAGCCCTGCTCTTGAAGGCACCCATGTTCTAAATGGATGGATAATAAATACGAAACATCCTTATGCCCTAGTTAACTAAAAACTATGCAGAAGGGATGTCCAAAAGGTAATTATGTGTAAAACATATCTTATGTTTCTAATAATAAGTAGACAGATGTATGTAGCAAGCAAGTACAGTCTATTTTGATATACATATGTACTCAAGTTAGTATCGCGCGTCACTATGGGTCATGTGACCTTGTATGATAATTAATCGATTTCGTAACTAAATTATTACTCAGCATTATTTAGCTTGATAGTGTTTTTTAACCTAACTAGTTGTAGATATTGCAGTTTCTACATTATAAAATCGCAAAGTCATGATGGCAATGTTTTATAATAATAGTATTGTTAGTTGCCTTGTTCTAATCTGTTTTTTTTTTATTAGATTTTAGACCAAAGTATATTTCTATTACTGTTGAAGTACAACTTAGTATATTAGTTATCTTGAATTCTATTCTATTCTATTGAATATAGTTTAAGTAACATTTAATTGTAACAAGTGGAAAACTACATAACAACCTGGTACTTACAACGGTAATCAATTAATATCAAGGGCACTTGTTAACTGTTATTACAATGAAATAAACACAAATAAGAAATATAACAATAATATATAATAATTATTTATCAAATCTGCAACAATTGGTGCTCTATTCTTTTAATATGCTTTATTATTTTGTATTTTTATAAATAATGTAAAATGTATTATATAATTAAAGATATATGAATGGTAAAATATTTAATTACACTGACCTTTGTTAATCCTGACACCTCTCCGGTCACCACTACTGGGGCTTTGTCATTCTGGAAAATAAAAGGTTTAAAAAATAAGTACATTTTTGTAGGGCGGAAACACACATACCAGGAAAATGGAACAATAGCTTGGATGTCAGTTCATGAAACCGCGTGGCTGTCAAGCTTAGGGGATATCTCATCTACTTCTTCATTAACTTGCATGCCCATAGCTATCACAAATTCAAATATTGGGGTAGTAGCATGCCACTTACATATCTGTAGGTAGCAACAAGCCAACAAGTAGCTTACATGCAGTATTCTAGTTACTAGTGTATTTCCATTACAGTATAGGATGGGCATGTTTAAGACAAGCTTGTGGTAGCACGGTTTAGATATGAATCTGTAGACATTTTAGTATTAAAAGTTAAGAAAACATATGTCATATTTAGTAGAATATCTGTAATGTCAGGTAGAACATAATTTTTTTGGATGTTGTCTTTGATGATTGTGCATTTTTAATAGTACAGAACATTTATATTTATACTACGTCACATTTATTTAGGCATTTTAATGAATAAAATGGCTCAAATTAAGTCTTGAAAAACACCAATATCAAAAAATGTTATACAATAGACATAGTATATTCAGTGTTATACAACAGACATTAAATGTATTTATAAACTGTGTAAAGTAAAGTGCACTCAGTGCATTACAAGGATAAATGAATGTGAGCAATTTGTAAGCGATTTTACCTATAATATACGGATTGATAAGAAAAATAAACGAAAGTCATCGGTTTAACAATATCATAAATCTTGAACCCATTTAAGACCCATCGTAAGACCTTGAAAAAAGGTATTTTTCAAGGTCTTACGATGACTTGATTTTCACGAAGGAAGTAGGTATACATACCTCTTGGCTGAAGAAAACAGTCCCTTTAACATCTCCATTTAAAACGCACACTGCTTTAGCCGGCATTTTGAATACAATCAATAATAATGAAAACTAACTTTAAGTAGTGCAGCACTAATGTTTAAAAGGTTTTTTTTAATGCGGAAATACTTTAATTGTGTCTTCTGTTACAACGTTTTGCGCAATAATGAAATAAATAATGGCTGGCAATAGTTAAGTCAAGGAGATAAGAATAATAATATTACTGTAGTAGTGGTAGGTAGTAGTAGTCAGTAGGATTGGGTAGAATTAGGTAGAACGCTGTAGAAAACTTAGTTCTAGAATTTTGTGTGACATGTGCATTAAAGTTGCCATTATAAACAATAAACATGTATTTACATGTATGTATACGTTAGTGTTACCTGCTTATGCTTGGTTTATACCACAACAAACTAAACCTTTTACCCACATACAAAAGCATGTCCTTTTAAAATGCCAAACAATGAGATAATCATTGTAGCTTTATCAAGCAAATATGTGAATCAAATGTATCCAAGGGAACCTTACACACTTCTGGGATTAAAGAAAAAACATTATTCCCACATGAGCCGTTGTCATTGTCTACTCTTTGCTAAGTATAAATCAAAACAGGAAGTCAGATTATAATAAAAATTAAAGCAATATTTTATATATTTCTGGGTAACTAATTTGTTGCGCCAAGTTATTTATATAATACGGATATAAAAAGGTATTTTTTTTTAATTACATTAGCTTTATAGCCTAAAAGAAACTTAATTTTGTACATAACCTGTTATTCAAAACAATTGAATTCAAAAAGATTCGAGATTTAATTATTGTCACTCATACATTGTCAGATCGGGAAATTATTTGAATTCTGGTGTTTTCTTGGCTACAATACATTGTAAGTTTAAACGATTAAGCAGTATTTACTAACCTAAGAACAGTTCTGTTCTTAAGCTGGGGTCGGTGGAGTTTTATTTTAACAGGTTGTTTGTACTCCACTATATTTTTAATGAGGCGGTTTACATTAGCATAACGATTGCCAACCTTCGATAGGTAATGGCGCTAAAAGAAGACAACTATAAATCGACGTCCCAGTGGGTTAATAATCAAATTATCTGCCTTCAATGTCACGGATGCCGGGTTCGATTCCTGCCCGAGACAGATATATAGCAGTACACAAATTGCTTGAGGCATGGGTGAGTTTAATGTATGTTGTGGAAGAAGGGCTTTATTTTTATTTCAATAGATTTTGAGCGCTCAGGCTTTTCATTCTGTACCCAAATAATATATAATTGTTGCATGGTGACATAGTTCCAACAGAGTACAGAAATATACCAATATTTGGATAGGGCAAGGTTGGGAGACCGCCCAGGGTGCTAATAGAGCTATAACCGTTACTGGTACAAATCGGTAAAATAAGCAAAAGCTCATAGTTTATTAAATTTTCTGATAATGGAATGTTAGTGATTTGAAAAAATATATTGCAATTCCCACTTGCTTTCTTTTTTTGTAATATCTTCTATTATTGTATGTGAGCATTTACTTTTATGAAATTTTGTCCATTTCCTACAGTGTTGCAGATATTTTGCTGTCATAGAAGACTGGAGGAAGTTAAAAAGAAACCATAACAAGAACCAAGGCTCAGAAGAAAAGACTAGAATAATTCAGGCTTTATTAGGCTAACAGGAATTTTTACTTTTTCACTCTGTTGAACCCTTAATACAGATTATAAAATGGTTTATAAAAGACTGACAAAGGGTGTCATTCCCTCCTGACACAAACACTGCCAAGAGGGGTAGGCAGAGATATAGGTCGCTTGAAAGAATGTTCCTATATCTATTTTGAAAAAAATATATAAAAATAAATTTAGCGTTAATAGCAATATATTCAATTAATAAGATTTATGATTGAAATGGACACTATAGGTATTTATTTTGAATTTTATTATATTTATTAGATAACTGGCTTTTGCCCATGACTTCATCTCTGCGGAAACCAAAAAGTTTACTAGCCTACATGTTATTCCAGACTATATATAATATCTATGCCAAATTTCATCAAGATCTGTTAACTTGTTATATAGTAACCTACATCATTCAGGCTTGTAATTATTGTATTAAATATGATTAGTATGTTTTATATTATAATATGATTTATTTAATCTTTGTGTTTGTTTTCAGTCAGCAAGATGTTTGATAATGCAAATAATGCAGAATTTTGTGAGGTATATAACAATTGTTTATAAAATGTTTGGTTTTAATCTGTGCTATTGGAATGATATTGTTTAGAGTCTAAACGGCAGACACTATAGTAAATTAAATTGTACCTATTATCAAAAAATGTACTCTAAATGTTTTGTACCTATCTCCCTCTGGAGGAGATATTTTTTTTAGAGATAGCTACTAGATAGTACATTTTAGGCAATTTGTACAATTATATTTGCTATGGAACATCTGTCGTTTTGATTTCTACCAAAATAGATAATTGTAAACCATTACAATTTGTTCCAGATGTGTCCTTTATGCAAAAACCGAGTTAGATTTTTCTACTTGGCGATGGATGAAAAGATTTTAATGTGTGAAAATATTAAATGTGAATTTCCCTTTGGTTATAATGATTTTAAAATTATCAAGGAAGAAGATGACGGCTTTGGAATGAGCCAATCGACTACTACTGCTTTAAAAAGTTGGCCAGATTTCGATAGAAATGATTCACAAAGTCCAATTGAAAGTAAATGTTTTAATGTAAACCACGAAGGAAGTAATATGGAAGTGATTGAAGATAAAATTGCCAGCGAGAAAAACATTTTGAAAGAATTGAACGCTTTAAAAGGTCTAACAAAGAAGTTCAATGAAATTGAAGATAATTCCAACGAGATAATTACAGATAAGAAATTTATTAAAAAATTGATGGAATTACAAAAGTTGTCGGGTGTTCGATTAGTTAAACAGAAGGAAATGGAAGTGCTGAGGCGAGAGAAGCCGGGGTATAAGCCAGATGAACTGAAAATTGACATTGATACGAGCGGTAGTAATCTTTGTGCAATTAAAATTGAAATAGCACCAAATAAAACTGTACCAAATGTTACATAAAATATTATGTAATTTAATTAAAATTGATTATCAAACTAATATGAGAATTAGTGCTTATTAAAAGAACTGAATATAAAATGCAAATATGCATTTCTGTGATTTTTAGTTGTGGTAGATATTTACTTTGGAATTACTTGGTTTGTCGATTTGTCAAGTTTACAAAGTGTAATGGTGCTTTACTTTGTAATGGTTTTTACAAGTAAAATTAAAAATGTTTTGCAAGTGTTTTTGTTTTATTTTTTATCCTTTTGGAGTATAAATTGCATTTACCCTGGGTTATGTTAAAAAAAAATTAAAATGGGGAGCAAAACAAGCTTCAATACATATTTTATTGATAAGGCAGAGAAAAGGCAAGTATAAGTAACTCGGCCAGCGTTATAGAAGGGCGAGGTTGGGCAACCGCCCAGGGCTGCAAGAAAGACAGGCGCCGAAGGTCCACGTCGAGATAACGCTGTTTACATGTAAAGGTTTAAAAAGGGGACGCTGTAGAATTCTCGCTCAGGGCGGTAGAGTTTCAAAAGCAATATTTTACAAACGAATTGATAATCTCGTTTTAGAGGTAATTTTGCTACTATGGTTAGTAGTTAGTTTACGTCTACGCTACTTCCGTTGGCTGGAATCTAAACTAATGTTTTTTAGCTTGTATATTATGAACAGATGCGTTTAAAAATAGAAGATTACATTAGCAAATCAGCAATATTAGATGTTGAATTAATATTCGCTTTAGAAAGGCAACGTGGGTACAGATACGGTGAGTGCGGGATTATATACGCTGTGTGTGATCTCGACAGCTTACTTTCATCCGGCGCACGCGCAGAGAGGACCTCGGGACAACGCCATGTGCTTTGCTTCGATTTAAAATAATTAAGGTAATGTTTTTGATTTCAATATTACAATTGACCGTCGCTTCTGGGTCTGCAACCAAGACTTATTTAATTTATATAATTGGACACGCCAACAGTATTTTTATATTATTATAGTGATAAAAAATGTTTCCACTAATAATTTTCTGCATGAATTTGATCTCATTTTGACTAGTATATGCGCAGAGTTTTAAATCTTTGCTCAAACACTTTAAAAATCAAAAGCTAATAAACGCAGTTCTCTGTTTAGATTCGATTTTACTTTACAATCAAAATATTATTCTATTACTCTAATAATGCTTTGTTACAATCTGTATTATTTACAGATGTCAATGCTGGTGTTTATTGCGTTACTGTGCGGCGCCCGCAGTGCTCGGACAATTAATGATGGTAAGTGATTTAAAAAACAATAAGCGACTTTTCTTAATATCCGTAATATCAAACCCTAGCTATACGTCCCCACTGAGGGTATTGGAGACTACCCTAAGTCAGGGGTGACTCAGCCATAGACAATGTTGAAAAAAATATTCGATAAGCGTAGGTTGTATTACGATGATGCCTCATTTGCATTGAACAGTTGAACGATTAGTAATTACGCTTTTAACTTAGGGAAAATCAGGATATTAGTAGAGAAGTAATTAGGAAACCATTAGCAAATTTAACAATAGATGGAAAATCTATTAATATTTATTGTAAAGCCCGCTACAGACGCTGAGTTCTGCGTGTAGGCAAAATATTAACCGTCAGTTGAATTGTACAGTTTGTAAGCCTAGTTCTAATCGAGCGTTTATAGCCGGCTTTATTATTACTGAGTTCAATTTAAGATGACGCTAATTTGTTTTTGTTTGTAATTATTGCTAAGCAGAATATAAAAATGGGTCATCCGAACTCCATTGCTCCATCGTATCCGGTCTTCCGTTTCCCGCATGTAAAATATCTAATAATTTCACTTTTCACGTATGTAAATGATATTTGTAACACGTGTTATTTGATATTAACAAATAATTTTCCTGCTTCCATATTTGTTACGGAAGTGCAATTTGAAAGGAGAAAGGTGGTTATTTGCATGCTTTTAAAGTGTCACAGAAGTAATTTGGCAATCATTATCGATGTATATTATGTTGGAATGATTAAACTAATGGATTGGTAAAAACTAGCAAAGTTTTTGCGATTTGTAATGAACGATGACTCAGTAACGATAAACTACCATAAGTTACATCCGGTGCTAGAACTAGGGCTGACGATTGACTGATGAAAAACAATAATATATCAGAATTTATAATCAATTTTAACTAAAACAATTATAAACCACAGTCAAATTGATACATCTGTGCCTTCATAATTAAATAAAAAATCCTGATTGACGAAATTTAATCTTACTAATATTATAAATGCGAAAGTTTAGATGGATGGATGTTTGTTAGAGTTTGTTGACTAAACGTCTAAACGGATCTCGTACATGAATATATTCAAAACCATTGAGTCAAATGTTTAGAAAAGAAAAAGAAATGGAGAGTAAGATTCGAATTTCTCGGTTTTTTCACTATTACTCGTATTATAGAATTTTAAATCTCTCTGTAGATGTTTTGTGCTGATGTGATATCATAAAATCGCTTCAGCCGGTTAAGCTTTAGGCCGTTGCAATGGAATTTACATACACGCGAAAAACATAATTCTCTTTGTCAGTCTAGGGAAAGGACTAGCACTAATAATTCTAAAACTAGAAATTATTTATGACAAAGAAATCAATTAATACTATCGGTGTGGCAGCCCTAATTATAATGTTTCGAGTCATTGAAAGCGAAGAGAAACAATTTTACTGTCCACACTTATATCTACAGCTTTCTCCCTCAAAGTAACGCCTGTGGACAGTTTGCACAAACTTGTTTTTACATACATAGATTTAGTTTATATGTGAACAAAGTATTACGTAATATCGATATCGATCCGATTTCAATATGATGTAAAAACTAGATACAGAAAATATTAAATTGTTTCACTATTTTAGTACTCTAATAAAACTTTCACGTGTTTTTTAATTTAAATTAACTGCAAAATTATTCAAAGACATCTAATAATTGCTTACGATATTCTATATCTTTAAATTTGCTTTTTTATAGATTTATCCAAATACTGGGAGAAGGATTTCAAAGAAGTTGGACATTTGTATGGGAAAACATCTGACAAGGAATTGTATGGCGTTAGTTTACCGACTTCTATGATATACAATGCACCAACAACGAAGAAAAACGATATAGTTTTAGAGCATACTGGAAATTATGAAGCTAGCGGCTTCGACCAATCAGGTTCAACATATCCTTATAATAAATATAAAAAGCATATAAACTATAAACAATCGTTAAAACCAGAACAGAGTATGAATTATTTCAGTTATTCTGAAAACGATGGCAATAAAAAACCTGAAGAAATTAATACTTTGAACAAAACACCGCCGCGGGGAAATCAAAACATTGATTTATCTTCCAAAATAAATCTGCAAGGATTTAAGCCTTTTATTGGGAACGGAGAAAATGAACACACAAGTATACGAAGTATTTTAAGTACAGAAAGAAATGAAATTGGCGCAGGTGAAGTTTTATCAGAAGATAATAGAACATATCGTAATAAACCAAGGAATAAAGTAAGACAGTACAAAGGTAAAACGTTTAACTTCCGAACGAAATGCCCTTCGAGGAATTGCAGGAAGAAATCGAATACATCTAAAAGATTTTTTTCAAGACCAGTGAAAAGGGTTAAAAAGAGAATAATTGTATACTAAATTTATGTTATACTTTTCTATGGGTTATAGTAGAATAAGTATTTATTGTAATACGAATTATAAGAAGCCATTAATTATATTTTTTATTTTAACTGTCGTGTTTATTTCCGATATTTCCTTAGACAAAATTATGTAACAAAAGCTATTATAATTTTACTTAAACTTGACAAAATAATATTCAATGACATTGTATAATGAACTAGCTGTTGCTCTAGATTTCGTCCGCGTGGAATTAAAAAATAGAGGCTATGTTACTCACAGATAAATTTCCTTTCTAATGGTGAAAGAATTTTTAAAATCGACCCAGTAGTTTTTGAGTTATTTCAATACATACAAAAATATATAAAAACGAATTTTTCCTTTTTATAATATAATATTAGTATAGATAAAGAAATAAAACACGTTCTACTTAACTATTACATTTAATAAATAACACAAACTTATACAAATGCAACTTAAAGCTAATTGTTTTCGTCATAATTTTACTAAATGAAAATTAAGAAAAAACATTTGGTTGCATTATCACTCTCGCCTTTTGGCTTTATATTCTGGGCCCTCGCTATTGTTTTTTCACAATTTTAATGATTAATTGTGACCGACCCTAATTTTATTATTAAAAATACAGACTAGTTTATCATAAATTTAATTTTATGTGATTATTATCTAGTAAATGAACACTATTATGCGTCCTCAGTGTTCAAATCTTAGATAATTTAAAACTTTATTTTATCTATGGTACATACTCTATGACGTCAAAGTTTACGTACCATAAAGTTTACAAATTCAGGATAAACTAGATCCATAACATGTCCTTTTTGTAATTAATACCAGAAACTATTAAGATCAAAATTAAAAAGTAGACTAACTGCCAGCAGAATCGTATAATTTATCTGACGCTTTTAAAATTTCTCATATTAAATTTTTTTTAGCGACTTTTTAACGATTCTAGATGTGGCAGAAAGACGGAATAGCCTTTATCCCTGGCCGGAGTTTAGTCAGTTTTAGTATATAAAATTAGGGTTGGTGTGGCTCTGCTTGGCGGGCGGGCGGGGCGCGGCGAGGGCGGCGGGGGCGCGGGCGGCGAGCGCGCCGTGCGGCGGCAGGAAGGGCGGCGCGTTGGCTCGCCGCTGCTGTCTGTGGTCGAGTTCGCGCGTCAGTTCCTCTACGAACTGCCCGCCCGTCTGCCTGGAGGAAACCAAGGGTTTATAACATGTCCAGTGACATGGAAGCTTATTAATAACTTTTACATAATGGAAGATAACTTCATTTATACTGATATTTTAAAGAGGAAATATATTTTTTATGTATTGAAATAACTTAAAGACTACTGGGACGATTTCAAAATTTTTTTCACCATTAAAAAGCTATTTTATCACTGAGTAACATAGGTTATAATTTTTATTTTGCGTGGGCGAAATCGCGAGCAAAGCTAAATTTTTATAATCTATGCTTAATTGTAATCAGATTTATGATAACGAACATGCTAAAGTTGTCACTGGAATTTAGTTTTAGTCCTTAATATAATTATAACAGCTTAATTAACTTCAAAACCCAGACCACTAACTCCCGCCAACATGGCGCGATATTCTAATACGTCTGAATGACATTGACAGATGTCATAGGGATAGGACGTATATGCCAATGATCTAGTGTTGCGCAAATCCTCCAGTGCAGTACTAATTTCCTTCTTAATATTAGTTAAATTGTAGTCTATGGTTTAGTTGAGATGTACAATACGTACCGCTCCGCGGGACGGCCGCTTTCAATGTCATCTTCAGCGCCCACGTACATGGAGTACCCGCGTCTCGTCAGCTCCTCGTCTGGCACCAGAGACGGGTTATTGAATGCGTAATTCTTGTCGGGGTTCATCTTCAGCTTTCTGGAAAAAAATTAATACATTAGTGTGGAAAGGCTTTTGTAAAATTCTACCTAAAGTATATGGATAAGGTAAATATGAAAAGGAAGGGAATGGCAAAGGCAATGACTTGACTAAGTACTTTTACGGTTGAGTCACAGTTCGACTACACACTACTACGCACTAATCTTAATAATGTTATAATTTCGTAAGTTTGGGTGGTTGTTTGTTAGTTTGCAGCCTAAATGGTTGGACGGATATCGATGAAATTTGGCATAGATATAGAGGATACTTTAGAAGAACAGATAGGCTATTTTTGTTTTTTTTCTAATTCCACGAGGTCGGAGTCGCGGGCGAAAGCTATTGTATAGATATAAAGTAACTCACTGGACCCTGAGTCGGCCGGTGGCCTGCACGTCAGCCAGCCTCTTGCGCAGAATGGCGACCTGAACGAACAGCACGATAACTAGCAGCAACATCAGCAGCCACGCGCCGCCGAACACGCTCACTATTATTATCGTCTCTGTCTCCTGAAACACGCACAATTTAAAGTGAAACAAAAGTAAGAGCGCGCGCACATTTTTGACTAAACTATCCCACAAATGTTTAGTTTAGTTTAGTTTGATTCCTATGAGCTTGTTATTACGCATACTACTTTATTTTTAGTTGTGCAAATAAACAGTTGAATTTGCTGCAAACAATCGACAATCGCACAACAGTGTGATAGTTTAGTTTAAGAGTTGTATCCACTCTTATATGACGTGTTGATTGGTATTCAATTTGTATGTTGATATTGAATGTGAGGTTAGTAGAGTTTGTGTCTGCCCTATAAACATTCAACATAGATATAGCAACGTAACCTGTTCGCTAAAACGCGTACTATTTAGCTATCTCAACCACAAGTTGTACAAGTACAATAAACACTCATCTCTAAGTTTTAATGAGTCATATTGTATCATTAAACACACATTACTAGAGCAATTAAGAACACGTAATTTGTAAAGAATTTGAGTACAACATGATTAGCTGGCGGATAAACTTCTCTAGTGGCGATGAATTTGGAGGGAAAGAGACATAACGTACTTCAATCATCGCCCTATTTCATTATCTTCTATCTCACTCATGTAACAAAATGTGACATGAACGTTGATATTTTAAGGTCATACTTGCTAATTCAGATTTAGAAAAGATACATATACATGTTTTTTTTTTTAAATTATAAGATGGCCACCTGAATCCGCCCAAATGGAGAAGCAACCGCTGCCCATAGACATTCGCAACAGCTGCTTTGTCTACCTTTAATCGACGGAAGAGAAAACACACATAAAGAGGATATTTCCCCTTCCTAGGAGTCTCCTCCACCGTCAAATTCATTTTTCGATACCATCCTTTTCTTATAATAAAAAGCGTGGGAAGGAAAAGGGATTAAACATGTAGTAGAATTAGGGCATTGTTTAGATTAAGATGTCAAAATACTAAGTTTATTTACTAACGTTGTAAAGGTAACCCATTTATCTGGTGTAGTATACTGGAGTACAGTACTCCGCCGCGTCATCCGATAAAACTCGATAAGCCAGCCAGTTACACTTATCTCAAGAATTTAATAAAAACCATTACTTGATCTGAATGTCTGACTCAATGTTTATCCTGATATATTGTTTTTTGTATTTAATGCATGGCAAGGAATGTCATGTTTCAGTGACTTATATAACTAATTTTAAAGAGTTTGCGACTCCTGATAACCTAAAAACAATTAACATTTGGTTTTGATCATCGGAACTTTTAAATAATTTCACCCTCACTCTCATTTTTATTGGAAAAATCAAGGACAACGTTTTTAAAGGACCTTAGGACTTGGAATCCGGTAAAAGTGAAAAGAATATTTGACGTAATTTACAGCTAATATTTAAAAGTTATAAATAATTTATTACGTATTTTTAAAGGTTATGATTAACAACTAAACTTATCTTTTCATAGAACGAATATCGGAATTCTTTCATTATCTGATAATGTTTATTTTCAATCTACTCTAGGAGCTATACGCCTAATTAGGCGAATCGAACAATTTTGTCAACAATTTAATAAGAAAATAAGATTAGTTATTAGAATACTAGAGAGAAAAAAAGAACTAGTAATCAAGCGGTTTTTGCATTGTTAATTCGGGATCGAAAACTAGTAAGTATAGGATACCAGCTGTTCCCGTGCGGCTTCGTCCACATGCAATTAATTTTTTTTACTTTACTGTTTACATTTGTAAAATATTAAATTGTAAATCTCAAAATTCAAATGTACAGATGACAACTTAGGATAACATGATACCATTGCAAACTTGCTTTGATGTTGACACCTGGTACTTTTTGTCCAACTCCCGCACGACGGTTTTTTTCAAATTATTCACTCCCAAAGTTTGATAGCGTGAAAATATATAGCCTAAAGCGTGTAGTGAGTGTAGGGCTTTTTATTAAACAAAGAATTATTTAAAAACATACTGTGATTGCTGACATCCTACGCCACAAAGTTGTGTGTGTTTATGCTTTATTATATTGTTCATGCTTTTATTTGAAATTCAATAATATAGTTAAACTGCTGAAATAAGAATTTTAATGTGTATTTATGCTCTATTATCTTCAATATCCGCATTTTTCTAATCAAGACAATGGTTGTTGAAAATATAAACATATCTGTTGTGATTGGTAAACTTATTCTTCTTAATGAGGAATCAACAAATAACTCACAAATGTTTATAACAATAAACAAGAAAATACCTCAACTCAAACGAATAATTTGGATTTCAATTATTAAAATGCACAAGTTATTTGTGAACGAGTCCTAGGTTAATACTTTACGTTTTATAGTCCGATGAAAAAGGTTACACCTTTTATGAGACCTTTTTAGAGATGTGAGTTACATTTTTGACCGACTTCCCAAAAGAAGGAGGTATTCAATTCGTCTGTATGTTTCTATTTTTTTTATGTATAATACAGCATAACCCCGCCGCTAGTGGACCGATTTGGATAATTCTTTTTTTTATTTAGACAGGTCTAGTGCTCTGTAACTCCTCGGTTCCCTCTATTATAAATATTCTAACCTTTAACCTTTTCCATATTCATCTAATAGAACACAACTCTTGAGGGTAATTAATGTTCGTAGATTGTTTTAAATACTTCCCTTCAAAACATCTTACTAATTTCTGTCGATTTAAAAGATAGCTTAACAGTTTTGTGTCAAAAGTTTAAATATGATACTAAAATAGCCACGTAGATTTATTTAATTTGTTAATAACATTTGAAAACATGAAAAACTTATGAACGTATTTTCACTCGACAACACACTTAGCGATAACCGTTTGATTGACGCATAAAAACCCGTTAATTCACGTAAGCAAGGTACAAATTGAGTTTGTTTAATAAACCGTAATTAAAGAATTAACAATTCTAATTAATAATTAAATAGATTAACAAATAAAGTATTGAAAACTCACCATTGTTCAGGTGTGAGTTTTCATGTCTACGAGCGGCGGCGGACGACTGCCAAATGAGCGACTCTTCTGATACGGATGATATTGATAAGGAATCTCCTATCGCATTGATAACAGTTGATTACGCGAACGCCTTTATACAGCCGACTTTGTACACAGGATGACTGAAGAACATCGTTTTTTTTACTAAACAACGACACTTTTTTTGTGGAATACTAATTTTTGTATATTTTTTTGGTTATAAATTATGTATATTTTTTAATGTTCTCATCCTAGACTGTTTTTGCAACAACAAATTTCTTAATTTTTCTCTATATTTCTATATAGAATTAAAAATAAAAAATACATTTATTACTTCATGTCAAGTAAGAATGATAAATTAAAAAAAAAACAATGGTCTATGCTATTTCATCTGAAATAAAAGTTGGCTATTATTTTTCCAAAGGCGCTGATAATTAACGAACATTTTTTAGTATTACCTGTGGGTGTAGTGTAGGTTAGGTTGTAAAGAATTGTTAACAGTAAGAAATTAAAGAAATTTAATTATTCGAATAAGTTATATTTAATCAAGAATGTTTTCAACTTGTAGTTTTAAGATTAATTTCAGTGAACGCATTATGCTTTTATTGTCTTTATACGTAGATCTGTAAAGTTTTAAGAATACATTTATTCATATCACTGTAATGTAGACTAAAATTAGTAACTATACTAGATTTATTTTTAATTCCACGCAGACAATTTCGCAGGCAAAAGCCATTTAGTCGTAGTAACCATAAAGTGTAATCTTTGTTATTGAAGTAAAACAATCTATGAATAAACTATTAACATAGCTTGTTAAATAGATTATTATGATAATAACTACAATTATTAATATATAACAAAGAAATGCAATAATTGCATCCGCCTTATGATTATTGTTTACACCTGATTAACTATCGAAACCATTAAATATCTATTCAATGTCGCTAACCTAGAACATTCCTTAAAAAACCGATCTAGGGATTACAAAAGTAATCTTAATACTAGAACAACTTTTGATGTTAACGAATCTATTTTTGTATTCCTCATTAGTTATGATGTAAAATAATCTATGAATCGATTATTGGACTCGGCTGTTAGTTATCGATTTTATTAATTCACTAATTGTTATAAAAATAATCTTACGCGGTAACAAAAGACGTCAGCATCAAGGATAGCTTGGTATCAACCACAACATACCTGAAGCTATTATTTTCTGTATTAAAATTGCGTACAATGAAATTAATTTGCATTTTTACATATTGACCTTTGAGAAGTAATATCAAAGGAATTTGTATTTAAATACGTGTTGTTTATGGTTGAAAATATACCACTGGAGGATTATTTTTAAATTAATAAAGACAACTGATTGATAACAATGGATTGCACTAGAAAATGTTCGAACTTTGATATTTTTGATGCAAAGGAATTTATGTTTAGCAAGGGCGTAATTTGGGCTCACAATAGATAAGTGTTCGTGAGGATTTGGGTCAAGATGGGTGCTTGTCAAATTTAATTCTTTTTAGCGGGGTCAGAAAATATTCAATACATCATTATCTTGACTATTAATTTTATTTCAATAAGTATGATTATAGTTATTGTACGTTCACCTTGTTTTCAAATTTAGACATGAGTTAGAATTCTTATATGATTTTATTCACGCATTTAATATATGTTTACTTTCTACCAGTCGTCATATCTGAATTCATTTCTGTTCTATACTTTCTTCTGTAATTTACTCTTTTAAAAGGTACAGATGTAAATGACATTGCTAACTACAGTTTTATTGTAACTTGCGGAGTAAAAATCTGATTGTACAGCCTGCCACAATTTATGTTTTCAATTGAAAGTTGTATCAATTTTAATCACATTGTATCCTCTAACAAATATATTTCATAGCTTTTAAACGGATCTTAAATACATCATAACTAATCCTGTCTATATTCAAATGATAGCTGGTATCTATGGTATTTTGGTGCGTGAGTCACGTCTCACGTATAGTTAGACAAACTTATTTGACCCGGTGAGGAAAAGAATAAATTAAAACGAAAGCGTGTCCCACGAGACAAATGAGATTTTTCCCCAGTATCCAAATGATTCAACGGATTTAATCTACGTGGAAACATCCAAACTAAATAATAATAGCTCCTTAGAGTCCTTTGGCTATATTAAAATGCAACAAGTTCCTTATAGTCTACTTCGTTTCTATACCCTAGTTGAGATGGTTCGTTTGAGAATCTCATACCGGGTCAATTAGGTTTATCGCACTATACACCCCGCAGCGGCGAGTCAAGGTGTGTCAGTTGCTGTGAGGTCAAATGTCACTGGTCGCAGTCAGCAACTGGCTTCAACAACCGGCCTTGTTGACCACACCATGTCTTCACAATGCCGCATACTAGAACAATAAAACTATTCTAATCAAATTATAAAAATCACGGAAGTGTTTCAATGTATTCTTTTTTGTATTACATTAATTGGCCATTTAAATTCTAGTTTTAATTTGAGTCGCTTTTTACGGCGTAGTTTGATATAATAAAACAGGAAAATACACCATAAAGCTTAGGTTAAGCCAATTTATTGTTGCCATAAGGGAAGACGCTCCCAAACGTTGGCAGTTTCTTGTTTAATTATTTTTTTCTGTTTTGCTAAACCTTTTAAATACATTTCCTATAACAACACTATTTAAATCATCACCAGCTCACCATACGTCCCCCCAGAGGGGCTCGGAGCCTACGCTAATAAGGGGTCTTAGTTGACAACGTTGGCCCACTGCGGGTTGGTGACATCACACATATCTTTGAATTTCTTCGCTGATACTTGCAGGCTTCATCACGATGTTTTCCTTTACTGTAAGAACGGTAAATTATGAACAGATGGAATTCAAAAATCACATTGGATTTCATTCAATATGAGACATATATTCTTTCATCATCCGCAAAAAACCGTACGCTTTTCGTCTTTGTTCGTGGGTTGAAGTAAGTTCAAAGAGATTATTAACTTGGACATCACAAGTTGTAGCTCTCGTGTGCAAGCAATGACATCAAGCACCATGAAGTGACTTCAATGCCCACTTACTACTTGACCACATACGCGACAGTCAATATTGTGAAATATTAGATACCTAAATCTAAAGTGAATATTATAGTTTGTAATATTAACTGAATTCACAGGCGTAAGACGTCACTAAGGAAAACTGCGTGCAGTTGACAAAAGCATTGGGTTATCTTGCGTAATTTAATTCCGTTCACGAAACATGTGTTGTTTAGCGTCTTTTGTTTAATGGCGCCTCTGATGGGGTCATGTTAATGTGGCTCTTGCAATTGTAAGGTTGGCGACACACCAAACGGTTTTAGATAATGTTCACAAAGAAAATGAATTTCACTTCATTATTGATAACTTCATAGTTTTGATCAAAAATGAATTTATAACTTAAGAATAATTTAATAACTTAATATTTAACTAAACTATCACACAACTGTTGTGCGATTGTCAATTGTTTTGTAGCCAATTTAACTGTTTAGTTGTGTACGTAAAAATCGAGTAGTGCAGGCACCTCCATATAAGGTCATAGTAATCAGCTTTAGCTGACGTTAGCAAGTTTTTTTTATTTCTGTTCGTCTCCTGTTGTGCCCCGCACCTTACACAATCATGCACAGATTGAGATGATGAGGCACGCGAGAAAACCGTGACTAATTCAGTTCAAACTTTGCTAACGTATAATTAGACTGTTGGTCAACTTTTGTGTTATAATTTTTTTATATTTCGATCACGACAAAAATTGAGGTTATATTGTAATATCGTTTTAGAATCTGATATTGTTTTTAATTTTAATAGTGCTTATTTCAAATTACAGTATTTATTAGGTCTAGAATAAGTTGCGAAGACGTACTTGATATAAATATTAATAAGAATCGAGGTTAAAATTATTCAGATTGCGTAAACATAATTTATATTTCCTTTGCCTCCGTCTGTCCACTCCCCAAGGACTTTGTGTACATTATGCACTAAATTGCAGTTTATTTATGTTTAATAATATTATAACGAGGAAAGATTTGTACTTTTGTATTTATTGAAATAACTCAAAAATCACTGGACCGATTTCAAAAATTCATGCACCACTGAAAAGCCACGATATCAGCGAGTAACATAAATGTTTTTTTTTTTACGCAAAGTCGCGAGCAACAGCTCGTAGTTAATATGTAGTCGATACTAAAGCTTGTCCTTTACCCTGTTATATTAATCCACTAGCTATAAAAATATTTCCTCTGCCTTCCTTTGTAGTACAAATAAACTATCAAGATTACTTTTTATTATATCCTTCTCAATAAAAGTACTTAGATGACACGCATATAAAACGTGTATACGAATTGCTTCATTATTCTACTGCGTGTATTATTGTGAAGACGGCATTTTTACATAATTTTTCTATCATGTTTTCCTGCATTTGTCACCAATAAAGGTTATCGAATCTGGAATTTTCTATCTTAACTCTTTACAAGAAACTACATCATAGTATTTTTTATTTTTTAAAGTTTTTTTTTTAATTTAATATTAATGAATTTTATAACAGCGCCATCTATTGTCCTAAGTTCTGATTATAATTGTTCACTTGACCCAAAGGTCATTTACGTTTAGAAGAAATGTGCAAATGCTTTAATATCTATTTGTCTAATGAAATAGTTGCAAGCATCGTTAGTACTTTGGTGAGATAATATCAGCGCTGTGAAAGGCGGCCACAAACTGATTACTGTCTTGTTATAAATGTTATCGGTTGTTGCCGGCATCTGATTCCCACGCCTGTGTCATCACATTTAAAATTGAAATTCACATCAAGAATGGTGTTGGCTTTGGTAGAATATATATGATGATGGTAATCATATTAATATTACAAATGCGAAAGTTTATATGGATGGATGTTTGTTAGAATTTGTAGCCTAAATACTAAACGGATCTTGATGACAATTGGCATAGGTGTAGAGGATATTCTGGTAGAAAACATAGGCTACTTCCTTTTTTAATACACGCGGGCGAATCGCGGGCGAAAGCTAGTG